CGTGCGTGCGTGCGTGCGTGCGTGCGTGCGTGCGTGCGTGCGTGCGTGCGTGCGTGCGTGCGTGCGTTGCGTGCGTGCGTGCGTTGCGTGCCGTGCGTGCGTGCGTGCGTGCGTGCGTGCCGTGCGTGCGTGGCGTGCGTGCGTGGTGTCTGCGTGCGTCGCGTGCGTGCGTGCGTGCGTGCGTTCGTGGCGTGCCGTGGTGCGTGCGTGCGTGTCGTGCTGTTGTCGTGCGTGTGGTGTTGTGTGTGTGTGTTGTGTTGTTGTGGTGTGTGTGTGTTAGATGTGATTGATTGCTGATAAATAATTACATGAAGAAAAATTATGTTTACATTTTCGTCGAAAGTTATTACATCTTTGTCGTAAAATTCAGAATCCCGATTTCAACGATGAACAGTTGATTCATGTAGCTCATAATTAAAAAAATTTTAATTATTAAAAAACTCGACGCTGCCAAACTTATTTGTATATTATTCAGCAGTATAATATTTACATATCTAGTTTCGTAGTACACATATAAATGTATCTACATTTTTCGGATGTAATATTTTATGCAAATACGAACAAAATACTTTGACGCAAATTATTTTGTAATTGAAATAAAATACTCGTACATTGAATTATATCATTTAATAGAATTCGATTATGTAATTTTAATGCAGACCATAAACAGCGCCGCCCTTGTTATTTTTAGATTGCATTGCGAAAAGCTTATTTCGATTAATAATAAGTAAAATGCATCATCTCGATTATATCTTGAGAATAAAAATCCAGAAAAGGATAATGCTTTGTCCATTAATTTTTTTACATGCATATATACATATATGTAAGATTTCAATGTATAAAATTGCTCCAGTCTGTAAAATAAAAAAATAAAATGAACATTTTTTTCTCTTTTACTATCTATTAGCAACGCATATATTTGTAATAGTAATTTAAAAATTTAAACATGTACACGTTTATTATATTTGTTCAGATACGCACTTTGTTATTTTTGAAAAATTTTTGTTCCTTTATTGCATTTATCGAATGATAATGTTATACGCGAGAAAGCATAAATGTTTCTTAAACAAATACATTAGTATAAGTTGGCTTTTTTATATGTCTTATTATTTGCGTTTATTAAATTGTACCAAAAAAATCATCCTTTTCATTATCTTGCATCTTTTTTAATGCACGTCTTTGTTTTTTACGTATTCAAAAGTAGACTATACGGAGTGTTCTAAAATGGTATGTAAAAAATGTAAGGAGATATTCCTCACACCTGAAGGATGAAAAAATGTTATATGGATATAGGTGCGGGAATGTTTATTTCAGGAGTTATATTGAAAATACTGTTAGCTGTATTACTTACACGCAGAAAAATTTAGGATTAATTATTGCAGACGACAATCGTTTACTTAATCTTATTTACATTTGATTTTAATGTGACCTTGAGTATGTTATAATAAATGTTGAAAATGTTGACTATTTTCCTGAATACAAGCAGTGACATGTCGACGCATTAATTCACAGACACGTTCCAAAATGTCTGGCGTACAGCGGATTGTCTCGCAACCTGCAGTGATGATACGGTTATGAAGATTTCGAATATCACGCACTGGTGGCATTTTTGTCTATAATAATTAATCCTAAATTTTTCCTTGTGTAAATAATACAGCTAACAGTATTTTTAAAATAACTCCTGAAATAAGCATTTCCGCACCTATATCCATATATATATTTTTTTTCATCCTTTAGGTGTGTGAGGAATATCTCTTAAATTTTTGACGTACATTTTAGAACACCCTGTGTAATAATAGACTATTTAATAATCAATCGAAATATACACAACTATTTATTAACAAAATGAAAAAGTCTACATAAATAAAATCTATGAAATGAAATGTCATTAGTTCTCTCAATCAATCTACATTATCGAAAATCACCAAATGGAGTTGCATATAAAAAATTAATTGTTTTGACAAAGTTTACAATAAAAATATTTACGGTAACTTCTCGCTAATTATTTCATAATTTAATATGAATAATTATTAATTAATATTAATAATTATTATAATTAATATTAATAATATTAATTAATTATTATTGAAAGAAGAGAAATTACGGAACAAAAAATATATAAAATTGTGTATTGTTTTTTCTTCCTCGATTATAAAAAATATAACTGTAATATAATAAAATTTGTAATTTCACTAGATTGTTTTCGGTTAGTTATTAAGATTTAATTAATCATATTACTTAATTATTTATGTGCAATTTTAATGTACCTAGTCAAGTCGCACTCCCGTGCATATTGTAGTAATTTGGGACATAAAACCTTTTTCTTTCAAGCTCTTCATAAGATTACCAACTTTATTTTTGTGAAATACTGATGCATGATAATTGGGCAGTAATAGAATTATTACCTTACTAGCTCCATCTACTGTGAGTTTCTTTTTGAATCTACAAGTGTTTGCAATTGAACAAATAGTATCAAAATTTGAATGCGACAAATCCAAATTCCATAGCAAATCTTGATTCAAGGAAAGGTTAGTCTGCAAAACATTAAGAAATTTAAATAAAAAAACAACAATTTTTATTTTTGAATAATGATGTATGCGAGATTATTATAAATGCAAAAACAACTATATCAAACTACATACAATGAAATAATTCGCAAAGAAATGAAACAAGACTTGCCTGTAGATTTTCATGTAATCCTTCGAGTAATTGTAACTCCATGTTTGCTCTGTGAACCCTGATACCTCTTATACGGAGTGTTGAATCTATATGCGATATAGCATTAATCTTGTTTAAATGGACATCGACGGCGTACCTATATCTATATTTCATGTTGATCAATTATTGCATTTTACCTAGGCAAATTTTTGCATCAATCAGCATAATATATATTTTTGGCGTATTTATGATTTCACTCTTTAGGTTAGCAGTTCTCTATATTGAAATGCTGTTACACGACCGTGTGTGCACGCACAGAAAAAAAGGACATTCTTATTTTGAAAATATATTTAGTTTTATCATGGAAATCTTGAAATGAGATTATATTGCGTTAATTAAAGAAGAATATAATTGCTTGAATAAAATTGCTTACTTGAATGAAGCCATTTTATATAGTTCAATCGAAAAAAATATATTCTCATGATTTAAGATTTAATTTTCTTGAATGGAAAAGAAAATCTTGGCTAGAAAATAACATTTTTAAATCAAAGATTATAATTTTCTTAAAGTAGAATGAAATAATTATATATTCTTGAGATGACAATTACAATATTAAAATAAGACTATAATATTGTTAAAATTTAAAATTATTAAATTCTTCCAAGAAGATTAATTGTTGAGTATATACGAAACAATGAACGCGTTAGTTTAAGTATATAAGTTTTGATTTAACACTTTTTTTTTTCAGTGCACGATGTGATCCTGCTTGAACTCCGGTCATCATTTTCTCAAAGTACATCACGAAATTCGTTCCGGAGTAAATTCATTGTGGTCACCTTTCTGCAGACATGACCAACGTAAAAAGCATCCTGTGAGATATATCGGGAACTGATGCAGCGTTCGTTGTTAATCGTGTGGTCAAATGAAAAGATTATATAACGAGTTTCTCGAGGGGATGAGATTTGGAGGTCGTGGCGTGTGGACGTGTCGAGGAGCTCCGCTTTTGAGTGCATATTGTGAAGTATAAAGTGAATTCTTTTTGTCTAAAACTGGACACTGACTGTGAATAGTTACTGCGAATTCTGTGGTATATAAATTGGATATGTTAAACTCCGTTGAAATAAGAATTATTGAAAATACATCATACGCTCCCAATGACGTCAAAGCATGACGTGGCCTTTTGCAAGCCTCATATGCGAATATTCTTAGCCCAGAGGCTACAATTCTAGTCGGAATTTTTTAGTGATTTTGTTCTGATTTTGGAGCTGATCAAGTGAAAAGGCGATGAAAGGGTGAAGGAAGTGGCGGAGTGAAGGATTAATAATAAGGTGTAAAAGGAGCAAGGAAGAAAGTGAGAGGAAGAAAGAGAGGAAGATAAGACAGAAGAAGATAGACAGTAAAAGCGAGGTAGGAGAAAAGGCGGGATTGGGACCTGACTCATAAGGGAAGGCCCGAATCCGGCCATAGAGTAGGAAGGATATAGAGAGGAAAGTGAGGCGAGGTGAAGAACCTGAACCTCAAGCCTAACACACAAGGAAAAGGCCTCGATGGTCATAGAGTATGCAAAGTGAAGACGGGGAAGAGACACCGAGGAAGAACGAAACAAGGAACGAGGAACAGGAGGAAGTAACCAGAGGGGAAGAAGGAAGAGACGTTCGGAACACCGTTAGTGGAAAGAGGGAAAAGAGCGAACTCATTCACTGCGGGGGAGGGTAGTGCAAGAAGGAGGGGAAGACCAAGAAAGGGGGCAGAACACACACGGGATATTGGTGAGTTTTTGAATAGGAGTTCAAGCAAAAGGAAAATACTGGAAAGCCCGGAAGGGAATAGGACCTGCGGAAAAAAAAGTGCGAAGAAGAAGAGAAGCAAGAAGAAGGGAAGAACAAAAAAAGGAAGAAGAGGAGACAGTAGAAGATTTGCTGAGGGAGTCTGAAAATAGGAAAAAATTAAACAGATCACCAAGAAGAGACAGAATAGTTCAAGTAGAAAGAGAAAATCCTGTGACAGCACAGGAAATCGATGCACTAAACGAAGAGTGGGGAGAGAAAACAGAGTTGAATTCAGAGAAGGAGCGGTCTGAGGGAGAGAGAGAGATGGAGGAGAACTTGATGGAAAAGATAATGGTCGAACTGAGGGAGAGTAGAAGGGAGAGAGAAGAGATAAGGAAAGAAAGACAAGAGGCTCAGGCATTAATAAGAAAAGTGGACAAAAGATGGGAGGAAATGGAGAAGAGGATGCAGGACATGGAGGAGAAGATCAAAGAATTAATAGAGAGGATAGAAGAAAAAGAGAAAAAAGAAGAGGAGGAGAAGGTAAGGGAAAAAGAAGAAGAGAAAAAGAAGATGGAAAATATAGAAAAAGCGATGCAAAAGGTTGAAGAGGAAATAAAGAAGATGAAGGAGATGGAGAGAAAGGATGAGGAACAAGAGAGGAAACAAGAGGAGAAGAAAGAAAAGAAGAGTCAGGATAACGACATGGAGGAAAAAGGTGGGAAGAATGGAACAGGGAAATAAGGAAGAAAAACATCATTATAACAGGAATAAATATAAAGGAGGAGATAAAAAAAGAAATGGTGGAAGAATGGCTTAAGAAGGAGTTAGGGATAGAAATCAGGCTGATAAAGATTTGGATAATAAAAGGAAGAAGAGAATTAGTAGAGGCGCAGTGCAGCAGCAGAGAAGAAAAGGAAAAGATTATGGAGAATAAAAACAGACTAAAAGGAACCAAAATATACATAGATCACGATCTCACATTCAAAGAAAGGAGGAACAGAGAAATAGTATGGAAAAAGGCACGAGAATATAAAGATGAAGGTAAGAACGTAAGAGTAGGATATAATAAAATTATAGTAGAAAATGAAGAACACAGGTTCGATGAATGGAGAGGAAAATTTTTTCGAAAAAGTGAGGAAGATACAAAAAGAGGAAAGAAAGGAATACAGCAAGAAAAACAAGAAAGAAATTAAAATGGTAATTTGGAATATAGCAGGAATGACAGAGAATAAGGAGGATAAATTAGAGTATATAAAGAGATTTGATATAATAGGATTAGTAGAAACTTGGATAATAAAAGAGAAAGAAGAATGGATTAAAGAAAAGCTTAAAGATTTTGATATAGAATGCGTAGAAGCAAGAAAAGATAATAAGAAGGGAAGAGCGAAGGGAGGAATAATCTTAGGCATAAGGAGAGGATTAATGGATGCACAAAGGAGATTAAGAGCGACAGAAGAAGTAATAGCAGTAGAAGTGAAAAAGAAGGAAAAAACCTACAGGATAATTGTCACATACATGAATGAGAAGAAAAAGGAAAACTGGAAAGAAATCAAGAAAGTTTTGGAAGACAATGAGAGGACGATAACTATAATTGGAGGAGATTTCAATGCGAGGATAGGAGAAGAAGAAGGATGGCTAGAGGAAGAAGAAACTTTCAACCTAAGAAGCGAAATGGAGAAGGAAAGAAATAGAAAATCAAGGGATAAAACAGTTAACAAAGAAGGAGAAAAAATGTTGGAGGAAGTAAGAAATAATGGATTGTATATAGCAAACGGTAACATGAATGGAGACGAAGAAGGAGAATTTACATATATAGGCCCAAGAGGTATGACAACGATTGACTACCTGTTAACGAATATAAGCGGGAAAGAAATTATACAGCACATGAAAATTGGAGATAAAATAGAGTCAGATCATATGCGAATAGAAGTAACATGGAAGGAAAAAACAGAAGAGAGGAGAAAGGAGATAAGGAAAGAAATAACGGATTGGACACAGGAAGGAATCAGAAAATATCAAGAAAACCTAAAGGAAGAAGAAATAGTTAGGGCAAAAAACTGGAAAGAACTAAAAGAAATAATAAGGAAAGCTATACCAAAAAAGACAATCGAAGAAAAAGTTAGGAAAGAAAGATGGTACGATAAGGAATGCAGACAGAAAAAGAGAGAACTGAAGAATTTACTAAAGCTCTGCAAGAAGGAAGGAAAAGGGCAGAAGAGATTTTATGAAGCAAGAAAAGAATACAAGAAACTACTGAAGGAGAAGCTAGAGAAGGAAGGAGAAAAAATTATAGAAGAAATGAGAAGGGATAAAACGGAGAAGAAGTTTTGGGAAATCGTAAATCAAAATAGGAATGGAAGAGAAGGAATAGACGAAAACATAAGAAGAGAAGATTGGATAAAACACTTTACAAAACAGTTAGGAGGAACAGAAATAGATATAGGTGAGGAGGGAGAGAGAACTGAGGAGGTGACCAATGAGGAACTGGAAAAAGGCGGAAGCAGAGGAGCGGATTGCAAGATAACAGAAGAGATTACAGAAGAGGAAATTGAAGTGACAATAAGGAAGCTAAAAAAGAAGAAGGCAGTAGGGCCAGACGGAATAGGTAACGAGGCATGGATCTACGGAATTGAAAAGCTAAGAGGAAAAATGAAGGAAATTTTAAATAAAATGTGGAATGGAGGAAAGTTAACAAAAGAATGGAAGGAAGGTATAATAACACCGATATATAAAAAAGGAGACAAGAAAAAAGCGGAAAATTATAGACGAATAACGTTGATGGACACGAGTTATAAAATTTATACAGAAATAATAAGAAGAAAGTTAAGTAAAAATTTAGAAGAGAAAAAAGGTCTTAGTGAGACTCAATTAGGATTTAGGAAGGAAAGAGGCACAATTGATGCGGTATATATCCTAAAGAATGCGATAAATGAATCAATAAGAAGAGAAAAAGGAAAGTTATGCGTGCTATTCGCAGACATGAAAGGAGCATTTGACAGACTAAAAAGGGAAGAAATTTGGAACATGCTGGAGAAAATAGGTATAGAAGAAAATATAACGGAAAGAATAAGGGACATATATACAGGAACAAAGAGCACAATAAAGATAAAGAGAAAAGAGTAAGATCAATGGAACTGAAGAAAGGAGTCAGACAAGGATGCCCCCTCAGCCCGACCTTGTTCAATGTGAGCCTTGCGGATTTGGAAGAGGAGATGAAAAAAGTACAAGAAGGAGGCGTAGTATTAGGGAGAAAGAAAATTTACTCACTGTCATATGCAGACGATGTTGCACTAATGTCCACTACGCCAGAAGGGCTAAAAGAGATGATAGAGAGATTGGGAAAGTATTTGGAAAAAAAAGGCTTGGAATTGAATACGGAAAAGTCAAAGATAATGGTGTTCAGAAAAGGACAAGGAAGGAGAACCAGATTAGAATTCAAATGGAAAGAGGAAGTAATAGAAGAAGTGAAAGAATTTACATATCTGGGATACATAATGAAGGGCAACAGCAGTGATGAAGGACAAATTAAGAAGCTAGAAGGTAAAGCTAAAAGCGTAGTAGGAAGAATTTGGAGCATAGGAGAGAGGAAATTTAAAGAAGATTGGGATAAAAGGATGAGATTATTCGATGCACTAATAGAATCAGTAATGATGTATGGAGCCGAAATTTGGGGATGGAAAGAAAGGAAAGAACTTGAAAGAATACAAAGGAAATATATTAAATGGGTGCTAAAGCTTGACAAGAATACACCGGATTACATAGTGATGAAAGAAACAAACAGGGATGATTTAATAATTAAGATAGGAAAAAGAGCATTAAAATATGAAGAAAAGTTGGAAAAACAAGAAAGAAACACGATCCTGGGAGAATGCTGGAAAATACAAGAGAGAAGAAGAGAAGAAAAAAGCCAAGGAGACAAGAGAGAATTCTTGAAGAAAAGAGGATGGTCAATAGAAAAGTATTGGGAAAATAAAGGTAGGAAAGAGTCAGTGTGGCAAAGATTGGAGGAGAAAGGCAGGGAAATACAGACAAATTATAAAGAAGAAAGGATAAAGGATTCAAGATACGCAGAAGAGATCAAGTACTCTTGGAAGAACACGGAAGGAGATACATGGAGAGAGGCCAAAGACTAAGAAAAGATTAATTAANAAACACAAAGTAAGTTGTGCATAGTTAACAATATGATTTAATAAAAAAACTCATTAAAAAAGATGAACGAATATTTATGGTGAAATGTTTCTTTTCTTTGATTTTTCAAAATTAAGCGTATTATAAAAATATAGCATAATTAAGTAATACTTAATATATTCGTTAAATAAGATTCTATCGTTAAAAAACAGAAAAATTATTATTATTACAATTAAGAATAAATTTTTTTAAGAATATTATTGAAATACGATAAAGAAATGGAATATAAACAATTTATTGCGGTTTCGTAAATCTCTCTTTCCAAGAACGTAAATTCCATGTTTGAAAGAGTTAAAATATTAACGGAAAGATTCCTCACTAATATTGATTTTATATTCGAGTTTGTGCAATGATATATATTTATATACTAACCGTCTTGATATCAATAAAGTGCGAATATCAATTTAAAAATGTAACTGTACATAATATGAAATTTATATACTAATCGGCATGATATCATTAATAATGCATTTTTAATAAATACTCTCGGTTAGGTAAAAAATAAATATAACAATAATGATAAATTTAATAATAATGATATAATCATGTCAATGATATCTTTGTCAATGTATTGAATTCCAATGTGAATCTATTTAAAAAAATAATAATTTATATATTTATACATATTCATAACTTAAACTATTCAACATATTACAGGTGACGAAAATGGATTTAATCTCTTTAATAATATGCACCCTATTTGTTGTTTTAATAATCCCCACAATTATATCGACATCATATCATCAATATATTCTTCGACGAAAACTCAAAAACATTCCTGTATATGGCAGATTTCCTTTTGGCGTGACATTTGAATTATTAAAACTGACAAATTATGGTAAAGAACTTTATAAATAAGATTGTTTTTATGTTTTGATAGATATCATTTATATATTTTACCAAAAAATTTAAAACAAGTACTCTCATTTATTTTAGATTAGTGTAATATGTAAATAATCAGTATAAAAATAAAAATTAATACTAAATCTGATTATATGCTTTACAGAACGAATACAATGGTTTATACAACGCATGCTTCAATTTAAAGAAGGAATTTTCGTATATTGGATAGGCATGAATCCATTCATTAATCTCTATAAACCTGAATTATTAGAAGTAAGAGTAAAAAGTATCTTTCTAAAAATATCAGTTATTACATTTTTTGTAATGACAAATCTATAAATACATGATAATTTGTTATGAGAGAAAGTGAAACTACTTGCAATAGAGTAAATTTTATAAATGCTTTATTAAATATTATGTTATATTAATATTAAATAATACAATTATTATTAAAAATTTCACAATATATTTATACGGAGAAAATAAATTTTCTCAGTTATTAGTGACATAATTGATAAATTGCATACATATGAAAAATAGTTAATTGCTATATAATGAATTATTTAATATTATAACAAAATTTTTTTTCTTTATAATAAAAAAAATTTTTTTAAATAAATATTTATTTTAAAATATAGATCTGCAATTGAAAATAATCTATTTCTAGTATATGATTTTCCTATTTATCATTTTGATGATTGTAAAATAGAAAATAATATGTTATTATGAATTATACGTATATTTATTTGTTCATTATATGTATATTTATTTGTTCATTATGTGTATATTTATTTGTAATAATATGTACATTTCAGTGAAACAATTTTGTTTGTGTGCGTGCGTGTGTGCATATGTGTGTGTGTGTGTCGTATTCTGTGTCACTGTTTATGTAATAAACTGGTCAAAATTTGCTATAAGGATCGTATATACTATGTAAAAGAAAATTATCATCATAATGTACGCTGACTCAGCTACATACTTTTTTTCTACATAAGAGATACAAAGGTACATTAAGTTAGTTTTTAGATAACAGTGCTAAAAATATGAATCAAGACTACCTGAATTAAATAGAAAATTTGTTATTAGACTAAGAAATAATGCATGCATCTATTTTATTTGTCTTTTATTTTACTGGCATTATCAATTTCTTTGATTTTTTTAGCAATTTAGGCATTATCAATTTCTTTGATATTTTTAGCACTGTTATCTAAAAACTAACTTAATGAACCTTTGTATCTCTTATGTCTTTATTATGTCTTTCGAGAAAGATAGTTCAAGTCAAAATTAAATTTTCAAGTTAATGTCCCTTTAGCAATCTAATCTCAGTTATCAGTTATATCTTTAAAATATTATATTGAATGTTTCTTAATCTAATGATACATCGAGAAAAACGTTATCGAATAACAAAAAAAATTGAATATACAGAATTTTTTACATACGAAGTTGTTTCTAAAAGAAATTAAAAATTTCAAGAAAAGACATTTTATATAATATAATAAATGATAAATTATTAAATGGTTCCATTATGTTTAAATTTATTTTCATAGATTATTATGCCTAGCACAGTAAATATCAAGAAAGGACATCCATATGAATTGATGGAATCTTGGTTAGGCAAAGGACTTCTAACTTCTACAGGTAAATCCATAATCTTTTTCTATCTATTTTTCATAGAATATTTTTAATATCTAGTTAAACATGAAAAGTAATTCGAATTTATATTATATTATGCATTTTTGATGTATGATTATTCTCAAAACGATTTTAAATAAACTAAAAATACGAAAAAAACTAAGAGACGAAAAAGTAAAATTTTACTCTAATACTACTATGTAAATTTGTATATATGTATATCTTGATAAAAAAAAGAAAACACATTTTTTTCTCACATCCATATCTCCAATTACTTATGTAATTTATGTGACTGATTTTATGTTAATATTAATTATTCAAATTGGCAAGCTTCATTAACATTACTAAGTTGTGCAATTTTTCTTATCCGAGATTATAAATATTCACTGGCGATATGCAAAAAAGATAAATAACGAAATAAGAAAACCCATAATAATATAACCCATAATAATATATATTTTCATTTTTACTTATTTACAAATATGTATGCGTATATCTGGTATATAAATATCATATGATATTTTTCATATTATATATATAAATAAATGTACTGTTCGACACTACTTTTCACAGGAAAACAATGGTTCCATGATAGAAAGTTGATCGGGCCAACGTTCCATTTTAGTATATTAGATCAGTTTGCCGTGATTATGTCCGAAAAAGCAGAAATCTTGATAAAATGTCTCGAGAAGGAGATAGCAAAGAATCCAGAGAAGGCTATCGATATTTTTCCTTTCGCTAATAATGCTGCTCTTGATGTTATATGTGGTAATAAATAAATAAATAAATAAATATATATATATATATATATATATATATCTTATTATTATGATATTTATAATATTTCTCTTGAACATAAAAGAGTTTCATTAATATATAAGTAGTAGGAAGCTAACTGAAACTAAGTAGGAAGCTATTAATTGAACTAAGAGCTAGGATATGAATAAAGACTTGTCAAGTACTAAATTTTAATTTTATTAAATCAATAAATTCATTCATTGTAATAATAAGTTGATTGCTTATTTATTCATTTATTTTTCTATTAAAACAACGGTTAAATATATTTATTAGAAAAAGAGATTAATTTATTTTAACATTAAATTTTGATAATTATAAATATAAATTTCATTTCTTTTTTGGAACAAGCAGTGTAAATACTTTGAGAGATTTATGAGTTAATAAATTCATTAAGTTATTATTTTGCAGAAACGGCAATGGGTGTGGATGTACATGCTCAAGAAGAGGAAACCAAGTATACTGCTACGATACATAGGTTCGAAAAATCATGAGTTATAAGTTAATTTATTAATAATAAAATATAATAATTGACAACATTACTGACTTATTAAGAAAATTTTCTAATAATTAATAACATATTTTATAATTAATTCATAATCATAATAATATAAATATGCTATCATGTAGGTTTGACGTTTTAATCATATTTTTAGAGGTTCGAAATTAATTATAGAGCGATTCTATCGACCATGGCTTTGGCCAGATTGGCTCTACAATTTAGTGTCTCCAGGAAAGGAATATAAATCAGTGATTAATATAATCCATAAGTTTACAGGAGAGGTACGCGCAAGAAAAACAACACTAACGATGTATTAAGATATCGGCAGAATTTTATTAAATTAATTATTAAATCTATTTTTTTTCCTTGTTCAGATGAATCCATCAAATTTACAAAAGAATTAAATTTCAGGTAATACGTAAGAAAAAGATTACACGACAATCGCAAAACAGTTTTACCAAAACGGAAAGTGAAAATGATGAACTTGATATAAGTGATTATAAAATTATAATTATACATATACATATGTTTTAAGCTGATGTAAATTTTTGAAATATTCTTATGAAATTTGTTTTATTAGCCAAGCGGAAGAGGAAAGCTTTTTTGGATCTATTACTAGATCAGAATGAGAAGGATGAAGCTCCGTTAACCGATGATGAATTGCGGGCGCAAGTCGATACATTCATGTTCGAGGTAAGAGAAAAAATCTTTGAAATTAAAGTCGAAACTCTTTCTTATCAGGTGTTATAATTTAATTACAAATGAGTGTTATAAAATAGTAAGAATATACATATAATGATATATAAAATAGTAAGATTATATAATGATATAGGGTCACGACACAACTGCGGTTGCGATAACTTGGACGCTCTTTCTTTTGGGCAATAATCTAGAGCATCAAGAAAAAGTTCATGAAGAACTCGATGAAATTTTCAAAGATTCAGAAACACCAGCTACCATAAAGGAACTGTCGCAATTAAAATACCTCGATAGGGTCATAAAGGAAACTCTCAGAATATATCCAAGTGTACCCACGATCACAAGAAAATTAGGAGAAGATGTAAAAATGGGTATAAGACTTTATTTTTATTAATATTAAGATAAAGGAAAACTCTTAAGATATTCATATTAATTTGTAAATTTGTAAAATTTATTATTATTAAACTATACTTTCAATTATAAAATGAAGATAATATATTTCTATTGAGACAAGTACCATTTTTTATTTATTAGAAACTAAATAAATACAACAAAAGATCAATGAGTTAAAAATCTGCTTTAAATTAAAGTCTTTAATTTGCGACAGAATTCAAAAAATAATAAAATAATAGTATAAAATTTTATTTATCATTTATGCCGCATGTTTTAAATTCTTCAAAAAAATAACTTTATTACATAATAGACTGATTTCAATAGAATTATTATCACATACAGATTATATGTTGTAGATTTAATAATATATGTTTGGATTTTACATAAAAGTGTCAATTTTTATATGGATTACGAAAGTATAATTTTTTTTACTGCAAACTCAATTACATATATATATATATATATATATATATATATATATATATATATATATTATATATATTATTAACATATAATATATATATATATATATATAACACATATATATATATATATATATATTATATATATTATTAACATAAAATTTTATGATAATTTTATGATAAGTGTGAGAAGGGAACGAAATACAGCCTATAATATATTTTTTTAGGTGATTATATGCTCCCAAAAGATATTACAGTTGTTTTGGCAATTGTATTAGTGCATTTAAATCCGGAAGTTTGGCCAGATCCAAAAAAGTTCGATCCTGATCGCTTTCTTCCGGAAAATTCAAAACATAGAAATCCGTATGCCTACATTCCATTTAGCGCCGGACCAAGAAACTGCATCGGCCAGAAATTTGCTTTACTCGAAGAGAAAACAATGTTAACAGCTATTCTAAGAAAGTGGAGAATAAAAAGTGTAAAAAAGCCAGATGCAATTGAATACGGGGCTACTCTTATTTTCCGACCAAGCGAAGAAATATGCATCCATTTCTCGCCAAAGAAATAATTAATTTATTGGCAAATATTCATGTTTATCTTTATCGTAATCTTTATTATCTTTCTCGAATTTCAAAATATGAATATTTCCTCGTTGTTTTTATTGTAGATATAGCATGCTATTGTACACTGCATTTTAATAAATAGATTGAGATATACGTTATATGAGATATATATTTTAACATCACGAAACATCCAGCAAATATGTAAATTACTATTATATAATTAAAATTTAAAGGATTATAAATAATTTGTGAACATTTATTTCGCAAATGTTGTTTTAATAGCAAAATATTAATATATGTAAAAATGTTGTTTACATATATATATGTAAATATATATAAATATATATATATATATATATATATATATATATATATACACATGTGTATGTGTGTGTGTGTATATTTTATATAAATAAAAGCAGCATATAAACGCACATATTTAAATTGATATAATAATTATGACTGATGAAATTTAAATTTAATATATATAAAAATTTTCTTAGGATTAGTTTCGGAATCCCATTTTCATTTTCTCATTCTCTATCTGTTTTGTAGTTTATGTATTATCTACGTCTGCGCCTAGCCAGCCCACCGGTATTGGGCAAATGTAATAAAAAAATTATATAATAACTAACATTAATTATTATCAAATTCATAAGAAAAAATTTTGCGCTCATTTAGCAAAAAAAATTTTGTTTGTATTGTCTTCAGAGTGTGTCTCTCTCTCTGAAGAAAACACAATTTCTTACATTCTAAATTTTGCAAAAATTCATAATTCGGAAAAATTTTAAAAAGTCAGATTGCATATTTTCTATATTTCAGTGTCTCTACATATAATTATTATCAAAACTATCATTTAACATCTAATTTATCATTTCGGCTCGAAGAAAGCGTTTTTTATTATTATGGGTCAAAGATGATTAAACATTAGGTCATGATGGATATAAGTACAGATATCTAATCTAATAGACGTCTCTGATACGAGAAAAGCATCCGCTAGTTAGATGTCCAATTTCATTTACATTCGTCCGTTTGCGGACGAATGTAAATGAAATTGGACATCTTATTATTTTCTTATTATTGGACATCTTATTATTTTCTTATAATTGGACATCTTATTAATTTCTTATTATTGAATAATAATAATACATAAAATTAATTATTTTATTACATAATAATTACTAATGCACTGAGAAAAAAATAATGTTAAATCAATAACATCAGTGTAATTCAAATTTATTTTATTTATTCAATAACATTATTAATCAGATCATGCTTTCGATTTAAGAATTGACGTATTGATTTAATTAATAATGTTATTGAATTAATAAATTAAATTTCAATTATACGTCGATATTGATTTAACATTATTTTTTTTTCAATGCATTTAACAGAGAATTTATCAGAATTCAGTATAAAAATAATTGCAATAGTTCGATAAAACCTACAATAAACTGACTTTCAACAAAACTCTAGTAATTATACTGATAATATATTTACCGATGAAAGTAAGTAATTATGTGAAATAAATTTGTGCGAAAGATTAAACTGACATAACATGTATGTACGCACGATAAAAAATTCAATGACATGTTGAACATAAATAAACAATTATTTCATATCTTAATCAGAATTAACAATAAATATATCTTATTTTAATTATTGCTGTATAACACCTTTAAATATCGAAAAAACTCGGTCCATATATTGGTTTTTACCTGCGTATTGAAATTGCAAGCTGAGCATGTTCATTGGAGACTCGATATTGGATCTTCCGAGAAAATTAAAAGAAAATAGAATAAGAGTTATCAAACAAAGTGAAGCCTATATAACTAACACATATATTTCTAAATCACGATTTTATTCTAAATCGCGATTTTATTTTATGTTTATCAACAGTGTGTGTGCGTGCGTGCGTGCGTGCGGGCGTGCGTGCGTGCGTGCGTGCGTGCGTGCGTGCGTGCGTGCGTGCGTGCGTGCGTGCGTGCGTGCGTGGTGCGTGCGTGCGTGCGTGCGTGCGTGCGTGCGTGTGTGTGTGTGTGTGTGTGTGTGTGTGTGTGTAAAGTATATTATGTACCGACCAATTCATTCCAATTACAGTCGGTAATTTCTCGCATGATAAAAAAATTATACATCTCTCATCGTCACGTGAACACAGCGCCTCTTTCGTCAAATGTGCGAATCGTACAAAAAAATATGTGAAAAATGTAGCCACGACGGTGACGTTTCTAATCAAAAAGTTTCACATTGAAACTTTGCATCGTTATATTTCTGCTTATAGAGCATATAGAGCAAAAATAAAGACACTTTCCTTATATAAATCGAACTCAAGCAATTGATTGAACCTAATAAGAATTTGATTGATTCAACGGTTATTGAGAACCGATAATATGCATTACTCGCAACTTAGCCATTCGCATAAACACGGTGTGTCTTGCGCCTGAGTGATGACTCGACTTCAAGACACTACCGTGTCTCTTGATTATAAAATAATTTACGTCAAAGTATGTTTTCTTTGTATTTGTATAATTTGCGTCTTGATCGTTACTGATTTCGTTTTAATAATAATAGCAGCGCTCTGAAATCGTGAATCTAAACATTGATTACAATCTATTGAACGTTCTTTTTTTCTTTAATATATTTTAATAAGAAAATATTCACAAAACTTACACGTAATTTGGAAATTTGAAAATGGTATATTATTTGTAATGTGTAAAAGTTAAATAAATTGTTATTATTTGTACTGATGCAATTTATGTGATATTTACATATCTAGTTTCGTAGTACACATATAAATGTATCTACATTTTTCGGATGTAATATTTTATGCAAATACGAACAAAATACTTTGACGCAAATTATTTTGTAATTGAAATAAAATACTCGTACATTGAATTATATCATTTAATAGAATTCGATTATGTAATTTTAATGCAGACCATAAACAGCGCCGCCCTTGTTATTTTTAGATTGCATTGCGAAAAGCTTATTTCGATTAATAATAAATAAAATGCATCATCTCGATTACATCTTGAGAATAAAAATCCAGAAAAGGATAATGCTTTGTCCATTAATTTTTTTACATGCATATATACATATATGTAAGATTTCAATGTATAAAATTGCTCCAGTCTGTAAAATAAAAAAATAAAATGAACATTTTTTTCTCTTTTACTATCTATTAGCAATGCATATATCTGTAATAGTAATTTAAAAGTTTAAATATGTACACGTTTATTATATTTGTTCAGATACGCACTTTGTTATTTTTGAAAAATTTTTGTTCCTTTATTGCATTTATCGAATGATAATATTATACGCGAGAAAGCATAAATGTTTCTTACACAAATATATATAGTATAAGTTGGCTTTTTTATATGTCTTATTATTTGCGTTTATTAAAATGTACCAAAAAAATCATCCTTTTCATTATCTTGCATCTTTTTTAATGCACATCTTTGTTTTTTACGTATTCAAAAGTAGATTATACGGAGTGTTCTAAAAAGGTATGTAAAAAATGTAAGGAGATATTCCTCACACCTGAAGGATGAAAAAATGTTATATGGACATAGGTGCGGGAATGCTTATTTCAGGAGTTACATTGAAAATATTGTTAGCTGTATTACTTACACGCAGAAAAATTTAGGATTAATTATTGCAGACGACAATCGTTTACTTAATCTTATTTACATTTGATTTTAATGTGACCTTGAGTATGTTATAATAAATGTTGAAAATGTTCACCATTTTCCTGAATACAAGCAGTGACACGTCGACGCATTGATTCACAGACACGTTCCAAAATGTCTGGCGTACAACGGATTGTCTCGCAACCTGCAGTGATACGGTTATGAAGATTTCGAATATCACGCACTGGTGGCATTTTTATCTATGATAATTAATCCTAAATTTTTCCTTGTATAAATAATACAGCTAACAGTATTTTTAAGATAACTCCTGAAATAAGCATTTCCGCACCTATGTCCATATATATATTTATTTTCATCCTTCAGGTGTGTGAGGAATATCTCCTTAAATTTTTGACGTACATTTTAGAACACCCTGTGTAATAATAGACTATTTAATAATCAATCGAAATATACCCAACTATTTATTAACAAAATGAAAAAGTCTACAAAATAAAATCTATGAAATGAAATGTCATTAGTTCTCTCAATCAATCTACATTATCAAAAATCACCAAATGGAGTTGCATATAAAAAATTAATTGTTTTGACAAAGTTTACAATAAAAATGTTTACTGTAACTTCTCGCTAATTATTTCATAATTTAATATAAATAATTATTAATTAATATTAATAATTATTATAATTAATATTAATAATATTAATTAATTATTATTGAAAGAAGAGAAATTAAGGAACAAAAAATATATAAAATTGTGTATTGTTTTTTCTTTCTCGATTATAAAAAATATAACTGTAATATAATAAAATTTGTAATTTCACTAGATTGTTTTCGGTTAGTTATTAAGATTTAATTAATCATATTACTTAATTATTTATGTGCAATTTTAATGTACCTAGTCAATTCGCACTCCCGTGCATATTGTAGTAGTTTGGGATATAAAACCTTTTTCTTTCAAGCTCTTCGTAAGATTATCAACTTTATTTTTGTGAAATGATGCATGATAATTCGGCGATAATAGAATTATTACCTTTCTAGCTCCATCTACTGTGAGTTTCCCCTTGAATCCACTTCAGTTTGCAATTGAAAAAATAGTATCGAAATTTGAATGCGACAAATCCAATTCCATAGCAAATATTGATTCAAGGAAAGGTTAGTCTGCAAAACATTAAGAAATTTAAATAAAAAAACAACAATTTTTATTTTTGAATAATGATGTATGCGAGATTATTATAAATGCAAAAACAACTATATCAAATTATACAATGAAATAATTCGCAAAGAAATGAAACAAGACTTGCCTGTAGATTTTCATGTAATCCTTCGAGTAATTGTAACTCCATATTTGCTTTGTGAACTCTGATACCTCTTATACGGAGTGTTGAATCTATATGCGATATGTCATTAATCTTGTTTAAATGGACATCGACGGCGTTGCTACATCTATATGTCATGTTGACCAATTATTGCATTTTATCTAGGCAAATTTTTGCATCAATCAGCATAATATTTCTGGTGTATTTATGATTTCACTCTGGGTTAGTAGTTCTCTATATTGAAATGCTGTTGCACGACCGTGTGTGCACGCACAGAAAAAAAGGACATTCTTATTTTGAAAATATATTTAGTTTTAACATGGAAATCTTGAAATGAGATTATATTGCGTTAATTAAAGAAAAATATAATTGCTTGAATAATTGCTTACTTGAATGAAGCCATTTTATATAGTTCAATCGAGAAAAATATATTCTCATGATTTAAGATTTAATTTTCTTGAATGGAAAAGAAAATCTTGGATAGAAAATAACATTTTTAAATCAAAGATTATATATACGAAACAATGAACGCGTTAGTTTTAGTATATAAGTTTTGATTTAACACTTATTTTTTTTCTGTGCACGATGTGATCCTGCTTGAACTCCGGTATCATTTCCTCAAAGTACATCGAAATTCGTTCCAATTCTTCCGGAATAAATTCATTGTGGTCATCTTTCTGCAGACACGACCAACGTGAAAAGCATCCTGTGAGACATATCGGGAACTGATGCAGCGTTCGTTGTTAATCGCTAGGTCAAATGAAAAGATTATATAACGAGTTTCTCATTTTGGGTGATAACCCATAAGAGGAAAAAGATAATTTGTAAGCTAACTCTCTACTCAAATGTTCTCCATAAACCGTTTCAGCTGATAAAATATTCCACGAGTCTAAGGAAAGCGGGATAATTATCGATCACCAAATGAAAATTCTCGCCGGAAGTAAAGCTTACAATCATTTGTAAAGGTATGTCTAACAATATACCGACCTTAGGCAACTCTATCCTAACGATTCCTGGCTCTAGAGGTAGTTTGTAGAAATTGATCGTGATACGAAGATTTAAGAGGCCACAACTTGTTTTCCACACATCACTGTATGCTCTTCGCATAAGAAAACTCTACGCGATGCCGAAATTTGGAATGTAATCATACTTTCTGCGTATCTCTACTTTGTCAAAAGATGCACTGTTCGTTATAAAATTTTAAATCCGCAACTTTTAGAGATAGATATTAGAAAATGTATTTTTATGTATACAATTTGATGTGAAAAAAAGTCATCGAGAAAATAATCGTTTAATAAGTTGAAGGCGCGTAACATAATGCGTTAAATATGTATAACAAAAGTAACGTGTCACTAATACATTATTGAATTATACCGATACAAGACAAAAAAGTTCACTTAGATCCAGTCGGATTCTAATTCTTTCCAATTGTTTTTATTCTCTGCGAACTAAAATCTTCTGAATTCTCTATCATAATTCGTCTTCGCTACTTCTATCAGAATTGCACAAGTTTGAGAGAATACAATATATTTACTATTAAAAAACTATTAAAATTATTAATATCATAGAAAAAGAGGAGCTACTAATAATACAAATTATTTAAGACGTTATCGCTAGGTTTTGATGTTGTTCAAGCCGCGTTTCGATCATGACTGATTTTGTCTCGTGAAATTCTCAAGCAAGCGAACCAAAATATTGACTACATGGTCGAAGTTTTTCAAGAAGGATCGTACTAAATATTTACTATTTTTACATAATCTGACATCATATGTTATTTGCAATGTTAAATTCAAACAAATTGTCACATATTATATAAATTGCATTGATACAATTTACCTACATTTTTATTATCACAGTTTTACATATATATGTATCTAAGAAAAATATTCTTTGACGTCGATTATTATATAATTAGGATGTATCATAAAAGATAGTATTAGCTGTGTTTTGAATTATATTGTTTACCTGTTTAATGTAATTATATAATTTTGATACACAAGAATAAGCAGCGCTATCGTTATTTTACAAATAGCATTATGTAAATTCGATTAAATAAAATGCATCATCAACTCCGGCTCGAAAGTCAAAATCCGAAGCAGGATGATGATACTTTTTTACTAACTTTACTTACAATTAGATGAAATTCTAAACTATAAAGAAATAAAGGTAAAACATAAAAATAATTTTTTTTTCTTTTGAGCTTTATCTTTACGCAATATACAAGTCTATATATAATTGTAGTTTACGTAATAATATATAAATATTTATATTATATATAATATATCACAATGTACGTAATAATATAAATATTTTTCATAATATAATGCTGCGACACATATCGCGAACAATGTCGAACTGCCAAAATTAGCGTATTTGTGTAGCCGAGCGCACGTGAAAAGATTTTATATTGAATTGCTCTTGATGAGCAATGTAAAGAAACAGGAAAAGAAATGTTTGCAAACTGTATCTCTGCTCATATGCGCCCCATAAAACGTTTAAGGTGATAAAATATTGCACATGATTATGCAATACAATATCGTTTTCAATCAGAGGAAGAAAATTATCAGTAAAAAAGAAATTTAGAATTAATTCCAAAGATAATTTCAATGATAGGTTTACTTCAGGGAACTCAATGTTAATAATGTTTCTTAGATCATCAATTAATTCAACGAATTTAAAAGTGGTACGAAGATCTAAACTGGTTGCCACAACATGTTTTCCGTACATCATCACGTGTTTATCACATATCATCATTTTACCTAGTGCGGAAATGTATTCTCATGTTATACCACTCTATGCGTCTCGGTCCTGACTGATTTTATTTCAACAATAATAATGTTTTCAAGGCGCGAACTTTAATATCGATGTTAAAGTTTCTTAATGCTTTCATCAAAAGTCATTCAAACGTATATGTAATATATAAATATATTTATATATATTTGTAAATAATCAGAAAATAATTAAATGCATCATTTTTTATTAAAATTATCTCATTCGCATTGACATAATGTACGTGATATTTAAGCAATATTACAATATATGTACACAATATCTATTACAAATAAAAATTTACTTTAACTTTGTTAATCAATATGAAGGATAAAGATAATCGAAAATGCAACACCTACATTATTCAAACTACATGGTTTAACTATATTGTTAGTATTTAATCATATAATTTTGACGTAAATGATAAATAGCGTTATGTTTGTTATTTTACAGATCGCATTTGTACATACATAAAACTCAATAATACGTATCATGGTACGGAGCAGGATATAATTTTACCTCTTCCTATTTACTTTTTTAAAAATAAATAAATTTTCAATATATAAAACTGAAAACAAAAATGAAAAAAAGGTGATTAATATTTTTTGCTTTATCTCTATTTATTGTACAATTCTAATTTTCTTATAATAATACATAAAAGTATTTTATGTCATAGCAAAATAGTCATTTTCCATATTATTGCAGAACGCATTATTATTAAAAATCGCAAAATCGAAATTTTCTATTACTTTATAATTTTTATATAATTAATAAATTATTCACATATTAATTATATACTTATATATAATTTTTATATATTTATATATAATTAATATTTATATTTATATATCATTATTTTTCTATAATTATATAAATCATATAATTATATTTTATATAAATTTGTAATACATGTATTTATAATTATATTTATATACATATATGTATAATTGTGATAATATATATGTACATATAATTATTTATATAATTATATATATATAATTATAACTCATATATAATGATAAATTATGATTTTAAATATATTAAAAAATTTATAAATTATAAATTTATAATAAGTTATAAATAATTCATATATTTATTCGAAACTTTATCACTATTACGATTTCTGTTGTTTTACTAAATCCGTGTTAAGTAATAATAAAGGAATAGATAATTTCTTTTAGCAATTTATTAAAATAAGCTTCTTATTGTCATTTTATGAGCTTATTAGCTCTTTTCATATGTCATTTTATTCGACAGTGATAAAATATATCAAAAATGGTCTCTTTTATTATTATGGATTAATAATATAATAAATACATGTATAACCAAACTATATGTCTAAAATTATATCATATTTAATAATTGATCATAAATATAAAATGTATTTCATAATTTGCTTTCACGAACTATTGTATACATAACATTGTTATTTGTTAGAAAATGGAAAATGAGTCGAAAAACCTTAAACTACGCAGCAGAGAAAATATAGTCACGCGCATTATTAACCGTAGCTATGAACATTATCCGCCTAAAAAACAATATCCAATGAATTTTATTTCATGAATTCTATTTTACTAATTCTTTATTAATCATTACGAAAAAAATAATTTAGTACTAATTTAGTACTAATCTAGTACTAATTGACCCATTTTTTATTCAGTAATAGCATTATGTAATTTATAAACTTGAATTATGAATCCTATGTATATCTATTAATTTGCGAACTGAAAAAGACTGCGATATGTTTTATCGCCTCGCATTATTATCTTGGCAACATCTTTGTTCAATTTGCACTTTCGAAATAAAGGGATAGCATACGAAAGAAGAAACTAATATCGACGTATTCGACATATTTTAGAATATTCAAATAGTCCTCATTTTGAACTTCGTAATTTAATACGGTGTCAATCACAAACAACAAACTTTAAATAAAAGAATATGTTAAACAAAAGTGCATGTTGTTCTTTGAAACAGTACTTGAATTAGTAATTGCGCCACAATTTTGTTTACATTTATTGTTAGCTATTGTTATTATTTATTTATTTATATAATTATAAATCGATAAATTTAATATTAATCCTCAATTCTTATTTCGTCACAACTTATGCTAGTTATCGTAACAGGAAAATTGGACTCTAGGTGTGCGGAAATATTACCAATTTCTTCTTCTGAAATACCCGGTCGTAGCAAAATATATGCAAATTTCCTTTCACCAATACCTGTAAGTTTTCCCACGTAACCATAAACGTATGCAATATCGGAAATATCATTCAATTTTTCATTCGACAAATTTAACTCAGATAGCACATGTTGATTCATTTGAATGTAATTCTATAAAGTATTAAAATATATAAATTAAAAAACAATACTGCATTTGTATCGGATAATTATATTTGCACATCTTTTAGATGATATTACACAAAAACATTATACAACGAAGTAATATTGTCGCTTGTAAAGAAGTGAAAAAAATATACCTGTAATATATCGAACTGATCATCTAATGCTAACTTTGTTGAAATATTATTTGATATTTCATCTATTGCAGCCAAATAGCGATCGATAATCTCGGGATGAAAATGTTTTATTTGTGCCACATATTCTATTTGTTTGTACTTATTCTGGCAAACAGTCGAATCGATCAAAAGAATTCTCTTTTCTGGCGTTAATAAAGAGGATCTATTGTAAGCTAAGTAGTTAAGCAATTGACACCTTGCAGCTATGTTACTGTTTAAACATACAGAAATGTCCATTATATACTTAACGTTACATATAGGTTTCCTGCATTCCACGGCAGATGTCCCAATTAGTAGTAATTCATCAAAACTAAATTCATTATGATCACCTCTCTGTAGACGCGACCAATGTAGAAAGCATGCCGCGACACATACCGCGAACGATGTCGTGCTGCCAAGACCAGCGTTCATCGGTATTTCCGTCTTCACGTATACGCAAAAAGATCTTATATCGAGTTGCTCTCGATGAACGATATTAAAAAGTGAGACAAAAAACATTTGTAAACTAAATCTTTGCTCATATGTACTCTACATACCGTTGGCGGTAATAAAGTACTGCACATATTTAAACAAGCGGACACTATTCGTGCCAATAATATCATAATTATGGAGGAAATTTTTAACTAATTCCAAAGGTAAATTCAATGATAAACCAACATCAGGGAATTCTATCTTACAAATGTCTCTTAATAATTTATATTTAATTAATTCGGCGAATTTAAGCGTAGTACGATGATTTAAATTGGTCATCCCAAAGTTTTTCCATATATCGCTGCATACTCTCCGCTTAAGATAATTCTACCCGGTGCGGAAATCTTAAATTCAATCAACCTTTTTATGAACAAGAACATTTGCTTTTTCAAAGAAATGAAAGTTGCAAACAGTATCGTTCAACAGTAGAACGCAGAAAAGTAAATTTGCGTGCCTTCTATTTATTAAAACCATGTAAAATGTATTTGCTACGTAAGATGTATTCATAAGTATTCATATGACGAAGATATGATATATTTGTCGCTCCTTATCACTCTGCACAAATGTATAATATGAGTTACAGATTTATAACAAAAAGAAATTCGTCATCAATACTTATTATCAAATTGATATACTTACACAAGGAATATATTTAATCAAATTCTCGATTTTCTGCTCTTCCTTTATCAGCAGATTAATCGTAATTGATTTCTTCTTCCCAAGGTTTCATATAAATCGGAATGATACATTTTCATCTATTGAATCCTTATCATAGACCAAATAAAATAGTTACTGACAATAAAAATTTGAAACGTTCGTTCTCGCGCAAGATAACGTTTATAATTTCTTGTTGTATACGTTTCGATCGTTTTTGATTTTTCCTAAATATAATAAAAATGCCTCGAAATCATAATTCTAAATATGAACTTCAATGTCAAATTTTCTCAATATTTTCATAAGAAATTATTAAAACAGACATAATTATAAAAATAATACATTACTTTCAATGTTATGAACAAATTGTCATTATCTTACTGTATTTAAAATAATATTTCATATATAGCAATTTTACAATATGCACGACTTTTGCATATATACATGTAAATATGTTTAAGTACATGCATGTAATATTTTATACGGAAAAAATAAAAAAATATGTGTATATACACAATATATACACAAATACTGTTTATTGAATTATGTCATTTAATTTTATTTCATTTTATAATTTTACCGCAAAAACTTAACTATGCTATTTTTATTGTTTTATATAGATTGCGTTGCATCAAATTTAATATAATTAATTAAATAAGATGTAATATTAACTTCAATGTCTCAAAAGATAATTCGAAATGGTTTTATTTTTTTTTTCTGTTGACCTTTGTTACGAAATCTTACTCTCATAAAACTAAAGATAAAAACAAGAATGTGCAATACCGACCGTTTAAGGTGATAAAACATTGCACGTGTCTCTAAAGAACAGAATAGAAACATCGATAACTAAATTAAAATTCTCGTCGGAAATGAAGTTTGCAATCATTTGTAAAGATATGTCTAACGATATATGGACATCAGGAAATTCTATCTTAATGATTTTGACTCTAGAGATAATTGGTGGAATTTGAGCGTGATACGAAGATCTATTCCGCTCGCTATAATATGTTTACCATATATTGCCAAAGATTTTCCGTATAAAATAACTCTGTCTGGTGCAGAAACTTTAAATTCAATCTTTTCTAATTTTTTAGCTTCGTCCATTTTTTCTTATGAATAAAAATCTCTACTCTCCAAAAAGATCAATAAGTATTAAATAATTAGTCGTAAGAGATAAACCTGAATATTGGAGTTCTTCTATTGAGATTTATCAGAATTATAATAATATTTATTATTAATTATAATAATATTATAATAATATTTATGTAACATGAAGAAAGTTACCGAGACCGTAGACCATAGATATTTATCGCTCCTTTTCCATTTTATATAAATAGAAATGCGTTGGCTATGTGTGACAAAAATAATTTCTTTAATGTCGAATTTGTATTCTACTCAAAAAATACACTTATAATTTAATCAGATTTCCATTCTCTTCGTTTTTACGTTGTTTTTTGTTGTTAACAGAAATCATAAATTGCCATTGTTCCTACTTTTATGCTTTACATACAAAAAAAGTTTATTAATAGATTTTAATTGTAACTATTAAAATTTTATAACACATATGGGCAAAGCGAAAAAAAAAATATGAAATGATACGACATTCGTTTTCGCACAAAACATTCTTTATATTTCGAGTCGTACAATTTCAATCCTAAAAAAATTACGTTTTCAAAAGAAGGTAAAAAAAAGAAGTCGAGTCATCTCAGTAGTAAAACATTATTGTATAAAACTATTTTACAAAAAATGATTTTAATAAAAAATTGCTGTATTAAAAAAAATTGTGTAAAATAGTTGTCATAACAATCTACAAAAATTAATGATATATTTAAATAGAAAATTACGTCGAGAATAAAATATTTATTTCAAGATTTATAAATTTGACATTGACTAAAGCATTTTTAGTTTTTTAAGATATAAAATTAATAATTAATTTAAAAAATTTTTAAAAGTCAGATTTTGAGCAATATTTAAAAAATTTGAGCAATAATTAAATTTATTAATCTCAAAATATATCCGATTTATTAGCTATTGACGAAGCTGAGGTCATAGTCTAGTTTCTCGTTAAAAACATTATCTTTTACATATACTATATTTAAATCAGATTGATATATTTGCATCTCATTGTTATAAATAAAAGATCAGTTTACAATACACTATTTTTTTACATATGTAGAAATGTTTCAGACAATCACAAAGAGAATGTAATTTTAATCAAAATAAATATAATTTTATACATAATCTCAAAATAATAAATATAATTTTAATCTCAAAATAATAAATATAATTTTATACATAATCTCAAAATAAATATAATTTTATACATTACATTGTAAATGTTTATATATTACGGGATCAAGTGCGCAAAAGCAAAAAACACTTGCGTAATAAGAATGCGTAATAACATAGAAAAATAATACTGACATAACGTTTGTATAAACACACAGTATTAGTTTCCTCTTAGATCTTGAGCTAAAAAGAAGTACAGACTTATAATCTTTTGCTTTAAAAAAAATTCTTTATAAGATTCTTTTTTTTTCTAGAAAGGTATTCTATTCTCTTTCGTTCTCTTTTCTTCGATTATCTTTTTGTATTTAATTACATTATATTTATATAAAGCTTAATAAATTGTGATTAATTGTGAAACGATATCTGCTATGAGTATCAAATATTTTGACCACATATTATTGATTCAATATTAAGTGCTGCGATAGTAAGTATCGAAATCTTATTATTTCTCATATTATTATCATATACTTGAGATTTATATTTTGTTTTTTATTTTTTTAAAAACACAAAGTAAGTTGTGCATAGTTAAAATATGATTTAATAAAAAACTCATTAAAAAAAGAACGAATATTTTATGGTGAAATGTTTTTTTTCATTGTCTTGATTTTTTCAAATTAAGCGTATTATATAAAAATATAGCAAATAATTAAGTAATACTTAATATATCGTTAAAATAAGATTCAATATCGTTAAAAAAACAAAAATTATTATTATTACAATTAAGCAATAAAATTTTTTAAGAATATTATTGAAATACGATAAAGAAATGGAATATAAACAATTTATTGCGGTTTTCGTAAATCTCTCTTTCCAAGAAACGTAAATTCCATGTTTGAAAGAGTTAAAATATTAACGGAAAGATTCTCATTGATATTGATTTTATATTCGAGTTTGTGCAATGATATATATTTATATACTAACCGTCTTGATATCAGTAAAGTGCGAATATCAATTTAAAAATGTAACTGTACATAATATGAAATTTATATACTAATCGTCATGATATCATCAATAATGCATTTTTAATAAATACTCTCGGTTAGGTAAAAAATAAATATAATAATAATGATAAATTAAATAATAATGATATAATCATGTTAATGATATCTTTGTCAATGTATATGAATTCCAATGTGAATCTATTTAAAAAAATAATAATTTATATATTTATACATATTCATAACTTAAACTATTCAACATATTACAGGTGACGAAAATGGACTTAATCTCTTTAATAATATGCACCCTATTTGTTGTTTTAATAATCCCCACAATTATATCGACATCATATCATCAATATATTCTTCGACGAAAACTCAAAAACATTCCTGTATTGGCAGATTTCCTTTTGGCGTGACTGAATGATTATTAAACGTGACAATAAATTATGGTAAGAACTTTATATTAAGATTGTTTTTATGTTTTGATAGATATTCATATTATATATATTTTTACCAAAAAATTGAAAACACAAGATTACCTCTCTATTATTTTAGAATTGTGTAATATGTAAATAATCAGTATTAAAATAAAAATTAATACTAAATCTGTTATATGCTTTACAGAAGAATACAAGGTTTATACAAGTTATGCTTCAATTATAAGAAGAATTTTCGTATATTTGGATAGCAGAATCCCTTCATTAATCTCTATAACCTGAATTATTTAGAAGTAAGGTAAAAAAGTATCTTTCTAAAAATATCAGTTATTACATTTTTTGTAATGATAAAATCTATAAATACATGATAATTTGTTATTGAGAGAAAGTGAAACTACTTGCAATAGAGTTAATTTTTATAAAATGCTTTATTAAATATATGTGTTATATTAATATTAAATAATATACAATTTATTATTAAAAAAGTTTTACCACTTATATTTATACGGAGAAAAAAAATTTTTCTCAAGTTATTAGTGACTAATTATCCAATGCATACATTATCAATAAATAGTTTCAATTTGGCTATTATTAATGATTATTTAATATATAACAAAAATTTTTTTCTTTATAATAAAAAAAAATTTTTTTTACCTA